AAGACCAACTCAAAGACCATGGAGCTTCCCTCGATTCCCGCATTTTATTTTGTATTTCTTTTTAAGACATTCGATGTTCTGTCCAGCACTATGTAGTTATTTAGTACATGTTTGCTGACCTCCTTACTAGTAAGTTTTTGGGGTAACCTCTGATTCAATATTATAGCTCCACAATGCCTAGTACAGCGCCTGGAGCTTATTAGATACACAATCTATATAAGTTGAATGAGGGAACAAATGAATGAAAAAGAAAAAAAGAAATGGGGTGAGAAATAAGTCACAAACTTAAAGTTTAAAGAGGAAGCAGAGGGACTTCCCTGGTGGTCCAATGGTTAAGAATCTGCCTTCCAATGCAGGGGACCTGGGTTCGATCCCTGATCAGGGAACTAAGATCCCACAGGTCGCGGGGCAACTAAGCCCACGTGCCGCAACTACTGAGCCCACACGCTGCAACTCCTGAGCCCACGCACCTCAACTAGAAAGCCTGCATGCAGCAAACTACAGAGCCCACGTGCTCTGGAGCCAGCGTGCCACAACTAAGACCCGATGCAGCCAAATAAATAAATAAAATAAATATTAAAAAAAAATAAAGAGGAAGTAGAGAATTGAGATGTGGTATTAATAAGTGGGAAGCAATAAGTTAAATCTTCAGTGTAGTGGTGTTTCAAATAAAACAAATAGGTATCTCAGAGGTACTAAAAATAGGAGAAGAATTCTTTCCCACTGAGGTCTGGCATGTTATTTGTCTATACATGGAGCTCTGACTAATTATTATAGTAGAATTTTTGCTCCAGCTCCAAACGATTTGGAAAAAAGACCATAGGAATGAATTCAGCTGATATGGGAAAACTGGCATTTTATGACTAGAGCCATAATCACAAATTAGAGCTCTGGTATCAGACCCAGGGCTCAGAATTGGACATTTAGGATCTGTTCTTTTCCCTGCAGTCTCATCCCTAGTTACTATCCTCCTGTCAGAGTCTGCCTTATCTCCCACCTCTTCCTCACTCCCCAAATGTAGTTTTTAAATTTAGATTGTTGGATGGGCAATATTCACATGGATCAACATTTTAAAACCTAAAATCGCAACCTGGGTTGAGTGTTTTAGTCGCAATGATAAGGATAATGGAGCTCAGAACATTTCTTTGTCCAAGACTGAGCTGGAGACTGCAACTGGGGTGGCACAGCAGTCAGAAAGAACACCCTAAAAGATCCTAGAAAGTCCCGCAGTCGCAGGGCCTGGCAGTCAGGAGGATAGGGGGCCTGGAGCAGGGCAAACAGTGGACTTGGAGCAGCAGAAGGATACTTCTTGGGGCTGCCCCATGGAGGTTTAGGAGGGGCCGGCTCCCTGGGAGAAGGATAGTGGGTGTGGGGTGCTGTCCAGTGCACCGTGAAGGGAGGGGGAGGGACCAGGATGGAGGGCGGAGAGGGAGGGAAGAGTTGGCAGAATGGGAAGTGGCAGGGGGCCACCCACCATCGGCAGGGATTCGCTGTCAAGGAGCTTGCACCCTTCTCAAAGGAGGAAGCTTTTGTCACAACTCTGTAAAAAAGCCATGTTTTCCCTTCTCTTTCTCCACGGTGACTATGTCCAGAAAATATCTAGCAAAGGAGGGAAATAGGAAAGCCCAAAACAAAAAGCCTGAAAAAGAGAAGGCAAACTGCATTGCTGACTGTATTTTGTTTTGTTTGCCCTCTGTTGTGAAAAGTTCTCATTTGAGCTAAAAGAGTTCTATGTCTTTAAACAAGTGGACAGTGTTGTTTCAGGGGGAGCAGGTTTGGTTGGAGGGAAAGTTTGGGCAACTGGAGCATCACCCAGTTCCTGTTTTTCCTCAAAAGATCCGGTGCTTTGGTGAGATTAAAATGTCACTGTTGAAGCAATAACTTTGAATATTTTTCTACAACTAGGCATTTTTTTTCCGGGGGGAAAAGCTTTCTGTATAAAATTAGAGCTTTATGTTGAGAAACCAGATGCGTAGAGAGCCATTGGTTGTTACTTGCTATCTTTAAAGTCAAACTCTAAAAGTCTTTTAGGTCTGGATGCAGCGCCTTCCCAAATCTCTGAACCTGCAGACATGGGAGCATATTCCATGCAGATGAGAAAACTGAACAGGTACCCTTCCCCTTGAGGATCCAGTAAAGGATTCTAGCAAGAGAGGGTTGGTTAGGGAAGGTATTTGCTAGGAGGTTCTGCTTTACCTAAATGATGTGCTGAAGGTCAAGGTCAGAACCTACCTAGGATTAGACATCCACAGCAACCAGTTAGCAGTCTTGAGGTTTTTGTAGCCCTTTCTGGAGGTGAAACCTCCTAATCACTGGACGCCCAGGAAATTCCCTACATGGAGACTATGATTCCCCCCTTCCTACCACCACTGCCACTCAGGATGAACGTCAAATTCACACAGGGGACTGCTGAGCTTGTGTGTGAATGTGAACTTGGCTGGTTTTATATTGTAAATTGTCTTGATGGGTGTTTTCTGACATTTTGCTATGAACTTCTAACTTGCTTCTAAATTGCTGAATGCCACACTTTCCTGACTGTTCTAGCTTTTTCTGAAATGCACAGGAAATGTCTGTAGGTTTGGCAAGCTTCTCCCCACCCCCATCTCCACACTCTTATTCCGAAAGTGTACATTCAGCATTTAAGAGCCTTTAATCATCTTCCCTCTTAGCTCCCTTACACACACTTGTACTCACACTTTTTATGAAGTTAAAACAGTTTTATTTTCAATCAGTTGACTTAGAAAAGGACTGTATCTATCCTTTGTCACATACCCCTAAAAAGCTCAACTTTTCTTCCAAACTTTGATAATGTTATTTTTATAAATGCATGCCGAGTGTGTGAATCAGGGTTTTTAAAATATAAACTTGTTTCTCAGATACAGCAGTATGAGAATTGTGGGTGGGAGAAGCAGCATCAGAAGCTGAAGGGCTGGAAACTAGATTGCGGGCATTATTTGAAATAATCAGAATAAAAATTCTTTCACTTCTTTAACATTCTACAAGTACTGTTTCGAGCATCTACCATTGTTCTAGGCCCTGATGATACAGCAGTGAACAAAACAGACAAAATCCTTGCCCTCAGGAAGCTTAAGTTCTAGTAGAAGGAGACAGATGTAAACTAAATTAAGGAAAATACAGTAGAGATGGAGTATAGGGAGTGCTTGTTCACAAGTTTATAAAGGTGGCCTTTGGGACTTCCCTGGTGGTCCTGTGGGTAAGACTCTGTGCTCCCAGTGCAGGGGGCCCAGGTTCGATCCCTGGTAGGGAAGCTAGGTCCCACATGCATGCTGCAACTAAGAACTCTGCGTGCTACAACTAAGAGTCTGCATGCCACAAATAAGAGTCCACATGCCGCAACTAAACATGCCGCAATGAAGATCCTGCATGCTGCAACTAAGACCCAGCACAGCCAAAATAAATAGGTAAATGAATGAATAAATAGATAAATATTAAAGGTGGCCTTTGAACAATCTTGAAGGAGGTGGACTAACATTCTATGCTGACATCTGGGGGAAGAGAGTCACAGGCACAGGAAACAGCTGCAAGCACACAGGCTCCCTGAAGGAGCATCCCTGGAGAGAAGGAACAACAGCCAGAAGAAATCTGGCTGGAGCAGCAGGTGATGAGGTTATAGACGAAAGTGGGTGGGCAGAGCCTTGTCAGATATTGTAGCTACCAGTGGCTTTTATTGTGATGAGTTGGGAAGCCAGAGTAGGGTTTCAAACAAGGAAGGGACAGCGTCTTATTTAACAAGACCACTCTGGCTGCTGGGTTGAGAAGGGAAGGGGGCAGGTGTAGAAAAGCAGAGACCAGTGAGGAGGCCACTGCAATCATCTCTACTAGAAATTAATAAAAAATGTTTGATTGGTTTACATAAAGGGAAGAAAATGTGCTTGCAGAATACAAAAAAAAAAAAAAAGGAAACAATTCTTTTTCAGATGTTTAAGTTGCAAGAAAAAAACCCACTTTGGCAACAACTTTGCTACTGCATCTCCTCCAGATACAGAATGGGCTTGGGAGTCCTAGGTCTTCAGGGTGTTTTTCTCCTGAGTGACCGATGAACCTAGCTGGGTTTGGTCAGTGTGTTTAAGAATGAGCCTTTATGGATCTGCTTAGTATGTCTGCCCCTTCCCATTTCCCAAATTTGCCCGAGTCCCAGTTAGAAATACAGATTCCTGGGTCCTACCCATTCAGTAAATATGGAATGGGGCCAGGGACTTTCAGTAAGAAAATGAAGGGATTCTTAGGACTTGGAAGATGGGGTACTACTTTAATTTCCGCACCTCCCGCTCACCGTATGGGGCTTGCGACGGACCTGGAAAGCGTTGCAGGGCGCCCGTGATACCGGCAGATGGCGCCACCTGACCGTGAGCTGCAGAGGGCGCTTGTCTCTTAGGGATAGGCGAGAGGCTCCAGCAGAGCGGGTCTGTGCGGTGCTGGGGCCCACCGGCCACCGCTTATCCCGAGTGGAGAGGCGCGCACGAATAAATAAGGGGGGCGCGACCTGTGGCTCGGCCTCATTTTAGGCTACTGTGCATCTTAAGCCTCCCTAGTCGGCTTCTCGGGCTCCTGGGGCAGGAAGGCGCAGCCTCGCGGCACGGGCATTGAGCACGCGGAAGCCGGCAGCGTGGCGCAGCGAGAACCAGCTGCCTCGGGCCGCCTCGGGACTTTAGTCCAGCGGGGCAACCCCAGGGCCGGGATGTACTACCGAGGTCCCTCCGGGCTGTCGCACTCGCGAATGGCCCCTTTTCATTGGCAGCCGGAAGTAGGGCCCCGCCCCCTCTCGTACAGCTCTCATCTGTGACTGGCCCTCGGGCACCGGCTGGCCACACCTCCTCCCCTCGCACATACACAAGAGTCACGCGCCTTTCAGCTGGAAACTTGGCGTGCTGAGGAGGACGCTGGCCCTCGTCTCCCCACCCATTTATCTTGCCATTGGTTCGCGGCGCCGCTCACGGCCACGCCCCCATTCCAGCCCCCTGGCTGGGAGGGCGGACGCCCGCTCGTGATTAGCTAGCTGGTCTGCCTGCCTCTCGCAGGAGCGGCTGGCATTTCTCCCCCCTCTCCCCCCTCCCGCCAGCCTCGAGGTTCCTGAGCTGGCCCAGGCCGAGTCAGTGTCAGTCAGGGAGGCGGATTGCTGAGCAGTGGGTGCGAACACTGCGTTGCAGTCTCGCCCAGGGGCCGGTGCCTGCGCTCGCGCCGCCGGGTGGGAAGGATGAAGCTGCAGCTGGAGCAGCCACCTTATGATTGGCTGGGGCACTTGTGAACCCGAAGTAAAGATGGCGGGCGGGCAGGCAGCCGCCGCACTGCCCACTTGGAAGATGGCGGCGCGCCGCAGCCTCAGCTCTCGCGGCCGGGGGGTCCTGCAGGCGGCGGCTGGACGGCTGTTGCCGCTGCTTCTGCTGAGCTGCTGCTGCGGCGCGGGCGGCTGCGCAGCGGCGGGCGAGAACGAGGAGACTGTGATCATCGGGTTGCGGCTGGAGGACACGAACGACGTGTCGTTCATGGAAGGGGGGGCGCTGCGGGTGAGCGAGCGGACCCGGGTCAAGCTGCGGGTGTACGGGCAGAACATCAACAACGAGACATGGTCCCGCATTGCTTTCACAGAGCATGAGCGGCGGCGCCACAGCCCGGGTGAGCGCGGGCTGGGGGGCCCTGCGCCGCCGGAGCCGGACAGCGGCCCCCAGCGCTGCGGCATCCGCACATCAGATATCATCATCTTGCCCCATATCATTCTCAATCGCCGTACATCAGGCATCATTGAGATCGAGATCAAACCGCTGCGCAAGATGGAGAAGAGTAAGTCCTATTACCTGTGCACGTCGCTCTCCACGCCAGCCATGGGCGCCGGCGGCCCGGGGTCTGCGGGTGGCGCCGTCGGGGGCAAGGGCGGCTCTGGGGTGGCCGGGCTCCCGCCGCCCCCGTGGGCCGAGACCACCTGGATTTATCACGACGGCGAGGACACCAAGATGATCGTGGGGGAGGAGAAGAAGTTCCTGCTGCCTTTCTGGCTGCAGGTGATCTTCATTTCGCTGCTTCTGTGCCTATCGGGCATGTTCAGCGGCCTCAACCTGGGACTCATGGCCCTGGACCCGATGGAGCTGCGCATCGTGCAGAACTGCGGCACGGAGAAGGAGAAGAATTACGCCAAGCGCATCGAGCCCGTGCGCAGGCAGGGCAACTACCTGCTGTGCTCGCTGCTGCTGGGCAACGTGCTGGTCAACACCACGCTCACCATCCTGCTCGACGACATAGCTGGCTCAGGCCTCGTGGCGGTGGTGGTCTCCACCATCGGCATCGTCATCTTCGGGGAGATCGTGCCCCAGGCCATCTGCTCCCGGCACGGCCTGGCTGTGGGGGCCAACACCATCTTCCTCACCAAGTTTTTCATGATGATGACCTTCCCCGCCTCTTACCCCGTAAGCAAGCTGCTGGACTGCGTCCTGGGCCAGGAGATAGGCACCGTCTATAACCGGGAAAAACTGCTGGAGATGCTCCGGGTCACAGACCCCTACAACGACCTCGTAAAGGAGGAGCTGAACATCATCCAAGGGGCGCTGGAGCTCCGCACGAAGACCGTGGAGGACGTGATGACTCCCCTCCGGGACTGTTTCATGATCACCGGCGAAGCCATTCTGGACTTCAACACCATGTCGGAGATCATGGAGAGCGGCTACACTCGGATTCCAGTATTTGAGGGGGAGCGCTCCAACATCGTGGACCTCCTCTTTGTCAAAGACTTGGCCTTCGTGGATCCAGATGACTGTACTCCCCTGAAAACCATCACTAAATTTTATAACCACCCCTTGCACTTTGTTTTCAATGACACCAAGTTGGACGCTATGCTGGAAGAATTTAAGAAAGGTGGGAAATTTTGCTGTCTTTCATTGGCTTGCTCTTTCTCTCTCCATCCTCCTCCCTACTTGAGTCCTCTACCCTCAGAACAACCCCCCAAGGCGAATTGACCGGAATTTCTCTTCTCTTTTAATTGCAAAGTTGAAAGGATGGCATGGATTTGGGGATGGATTGAACTAGTAAGCGCTTCTAGGTTCTTTAAAAGCACAAGACTGCCATCACTTGCTTTTTCCCATATCAAAAAGCAGGGTTCCTATTTTCTGTGCATGGTACTCTTCCCCCCTGCAGTCTGGTCTTGAGAGGTCTGCTGCATTCATTGCCCGGATTCTGAGTGGGTAGATGAAAGTAGGGACCCGCTCATGCTGTGCTGTGCCATTTGGTTGACCTGTACTAATTGCAGGCATTTGGAAAACGTTTAAACAGCTTTTCTAAACCCTATACAATCACTGACGTTTCAGAGATTGGAAGTGCATTTTCAGTAGTTTCTGTTCTTGGTTGTCTGGTGACCTGTGGGAGAGATTAGGGTCCGCTTTGGAGAATATGGTATGGGATAAGCCAGGTATCACCAAAAAAATTCACTCGTTTGGATGACTTGCCTTAGCTAGAAAAGAGGGTTTTTTTTAAAACTAAAGCTATTCGTTAATATATAACTTGGAAAGACCAGAGGTAAGTTAACCTTTTATGAGGCTCTATCTTACCTAGCTTTCTTCACTATTTGTTTATGTTTATCTGACAACAAATAAAATTTCCCAAACCAAGTGTGGTTTTGGCAGAAAGCTTGGACCTTTAACAATGGGATGAATTCCTCTATTATGGTTTATTTATTTCTTGAGACTTTCTGGCTTAAAAGTGTTCTTTTAACCTTGATCACCTGGTACATTAAATTGAAGCCAGGGAAGAGAAGTGCAGAGTGTGGTGTGCTCACCTTTCTTGCATCGTGGTATTTTCGGTTTGTTTTACCATGTAATGAACAGGTAAATAGCAACTCATACTATTACCACTGAAATTCTAGCTTTAAAAACGTTTCCAGTAAATAGCTAGTTTTGTTATTTGAAAGCCAAGGGATACTGAGTTTTTAAATTGTTATGATGCTGGTGCATGTTCATATATTATGTTAGAATGTGTGTGTGACCTTTAATGAACTGATAGTCCTCACAGCTAACTCTTCCTTCTTCAAATAGGATTTTGATCACTGACAGTGGTCTCTCCACTGAAAAAGGTCATGTGTAAGTGGTGACAGCTCACTGGATGTGATGATTTGAACATAGAGTGTGTAGTTGTCCTAATTCCATTTTCTTGCCTGAATGGTGTCCTCTCTGGAACAGAATCACATTGCGGTAATTTTCAGATAAAGGAATAGAGCAGAATGTGCTTCAGAGATTGGTAATTTGCATTTAAAAGCAGAAGGAGATTCTTCTGGATTCTTAAACAGTAAAAAGAAAATGTCCATTATCTCTAGGTGACAAAGCTTCTTTTGGGACGTCATTATTCTTTCACTACTAAATTGTTAATTAGAGCATCTAGCCAGTTTCTTCTTTCATTTTGCTGCAGTATCTGTAATATAGAAAAATATCTTGAAATGCTCGAAAATGGCTTTGAAATACTTTATTTTCTTTCTGTTGCTAAATTTCCCAATATTGATACAGATAATATAGTCTATGTTTTTTTTATTATTCAGAATTTTTGCATATCTACTGATGGATTGGTAGCACTGGTGTGTACTCCCTGCTGAAGTCTTTTCTTCACTTCTGTATCTTTTTTCACTTTGAGAATTTAGTTCTGCACCTTGCAACTCATTAATCCTTCCCCTAACTCAAAATTTCAAAATTTGCATTATTTTGAAATTTGTTTTTGATTGTCCTTGAACAGTTTTCCTATGACTGATTTATTTTTACTAGGAACTTTTTCCTCTCCCCAAATTACTTCTCACAGTATTTTCTTTGAAATGGATCCTTTAAAGATTGAGTTGCTAATATTTTCCCATGAATTTAAAAAAAAATTATTTTATTTTTGGCTGCGTTGCATCTTCGTTGCTGCACGCGGGCTTTCTCTAGTTGCGGCGAGTGTGGGCTACTCTTTGTTGTGGTGCGCAAGGCTTCTCATTGCAGTGGCTTCTCTCTGTTGTGGAGCATGGGCTCTAGGTGCACAGGCTTCAGTAGTTGTGGCACACGGGCTCAGTAGTTGTGGCTTGCGGGCTCTAGAGCACAGGCTCAGTAGTTGAGGCACACGGGCTCAGTTGCTCCGTGGCATGTGGGATCTCCCCAGACCAGGGCTCAAACCTGTGTCCCCTGTATTGGGAGGCAGATTCTTAACCACTGCACCACCAGGGAAGCCCTCCCCTGAATTATACTAAAAAAAAAATGCACAAGATGTTATTTTTGTCTGTAACCAGAATGATGTATTCAGTTAAGAAGACAGTACAGATTAAAGGTACATTCAAGCTAGTAGCATATTAGGGAGAGTGGGCAAAGAAAGTTGGTTGCAAATGGGAAATTTAAGCCATGATCTTAAAAGGATAGAGTGGGTGCTTGTTACTGAAACTGTAGGAATAACTAATTTTTCACCTTCCCTTCATTGATCTTTTTTTGATGAGTTTGGTCACTTTCACCTTACTAATAACTGTGTTATTTCTTTCTTTTGTGTTAGTTAAAATATTTCACCTGATTTTTTTTCTTTTTCATTTTCTAATTCAATTATGAAGTTATGTGAACAGTCAACCTGCTATTGTTTTTCTCTGTTGAGTAATGGTGTGTGGGATGGTTTGAAGGCTTTTTCTTCTTTTTCCTCTTTCTTCTAACAACACCAACTGTAACTCTACCAAACTGTTAGATCCTTAATCCAGATCTCGTTGAAAATTATCCTTTCTAATTAAAATGTCTGCATTGAAGCCTTTCCTGGATAGAGCTCTACATCATTAGTCTGAATTTTTCTTTACTAAGGAGGGGGAAACTTTCTGTAGTGTGGAAAGAAGTGAAAAGCTACCTTTATGTAGTGTATGTAAATGTTTTCTTTCTAATGATTAGAATTTTTTCCTGGCTGCCAGGAAACTTATAGCTTTACTTGAGGTTGGAAGACAGTAATTATGCTAATTTTTACAGTTAGCTTACTATTATTATTACCTATTTATTTACTCTCTACCAGGTACAGGGCTTAGTGCTTTACATGAATCACCTTGTTGAAATCTGATAGCTGAGCAAAGCATCATCTCCATCTTACAAATGAGGAAATTGAGGCATAGGTGAAATGATGTGTTCAAGGTCATTCAGTAGTTTGTTGATTTGGGATTTTAACTTGGTCTGTGTCACAGCCAAACCTGCCCTCTTAACCATTCTATTATGCTGATCCCCTTGATCCTGATTTTACATTTCTGTTTTAATTGAATGTGAGGTTTGGTCAAAGCATTGCCTCAGGGCTTGTTGAGAGCAACAAACACAGAAATGTATTTAGACATATATATGGCCTTAAACCCAGTGCTTCTGTGATGTTGTACCTAACGGTTGGTGTCCCCACTCACTGTTAAATCAATTTTTGGCCTGTATGACCCTAAATCTAAACAATCCCATTTCCACTATTTGCAGGTCAAGCATCACGATTCACTTTGACAGTGTCTTATGCTAACACTGTGGTGTTTGACTAATAGCTAAAGTATGTAGTCATGTTTCACGCTTGGTCTCCTACCTGTTTGTGTTGCAAGGCTGACCCAAACGCAGTTTTGTGTTTCAATCTTGATTTTATTTACATCTTTTGTAGCCACTTATGTGACAAACAGTTGCCCGTGAGCATCCTGTACAGCCCTGCCCCCCTGTGGTCCATGCCATCAGTCTTTTTCTTTTGTGAGTTTTATAGTTATTTATAAATCTAAAACAGAGAGTAAAAGTAAATCCCACTAGTGGATTATGAGAATTTTGGAAAAACCGTCTAAAGCAACGTAGTGTAGAGGAAGGAAGAGTTAAATAAGGTTGCTACCTTTGTGTGCAGAAAGTGCCCTGGACGCTCTCCCTATACCTGACAAAACCTTCCTAACAAAAGGTAGTGGGCTCTGAGCCACCCAGTTGTTTGTTGGTTTGTTTGTTTTGCTTTGTTTTGTTTCTTTTAGCTTTGTAACAATTGCATTCCAGTATTGCAGAGCTTGCTGTTTCATAGCTGCTAGAGACAGGCTGTTTTTTAGCTTTTTTTAAAACTAGGAACAGGTAAGCTCATCAGATAATGTTCTTTAAGAGAAGAATGCAATGTGTAGTTTTCACTTAAAACATTTGGTGTACAATTCTCTCTTCCTATAACACAAGTCTTTCCATATTAATGTGCTGAGAGTTTAATATTTAAAACTTTTTTCCTCACCAAATAAAGTGTTCCACTTGCCTAGAATCTAGGAGGATGTCTTTATTGATGTTTAAAAGTATGAATGGTGTTGAGGGTGAAGGGATGGATGTATTTGTTTCTTTGATCTTGTATGTTTATTAACTTTTTGCAATAACACATGTGATACTATTATAATTCTGCATATTTTTAGAACATCATTTTGAAACATCCAGATAGTATAGAATCAGAGCTGGAAGGCAGGCAGCTCATGGCTCATCCAGTCCAGTGTTTGTGAAGGTTACCAGATGATAAAACTTACTTGGATCACTTATTCAGAACTAGTTCCCTAAGCCTCACTCAGAGACGTCCTCAACCAGAATCTCTTAGGGAAGGGGGTTTGGAATCCATACTGTTAACAGTTACCCTGAGGTAATTCTTTTTTTTTTTTTTTACCCTGAGGTAATTCTTGTGATTAGGTGAGTTTAGGAAACATTGGTCTAGTCAACCTCTTAACTAAGGAAAGTAAACCCTGAGGAGAGAAAGCTAAGTGACTTGCTTAGGGCTACCCACCTAGCTAGTAGCATCAACAGGACTAGAACCTATGTCCCTGACTCTAGCATGGAGTTCTAGCATGGAGTTCTCTCCATTCCAACAAGCAGGACTTCTGGTTCCAAGTTCAAGGTACCTTTAAACTCTTGTTAAAGGCAGCC